TAGCTCATTAATTCGTTTATTTGCCAACGAAGAGGCCCAAATAATTCGATTGGGGTCGTTGCTGACCCATACCACAGAGTTCCAGCAACTACAAAAGCTGCAAAAAAAAAACAGCTAGCTCAGCAGGTTTGGACCCGGGTGAATCAGTTCAGTGAAGGAAGGGAGCCTGCTCCAGTCCCCTTACGAAACTTTCGTTATTGGGTTAGCCATACACTTCACATGTTTCTAGCGATTCACATGGCATCATCAAATGATACAAGTCAGATTTCCCTATTCAGAAAAGGGCAGGAAACAGTGGGTTTTCCCGAGCGACCGATCCTATCTGTGGTCGAACAGCTTGATTTCCTCAAATTCAGGAAGACAAAAAAAAAAGCAAAACTGTTCCAAATTATTTGTCACACGTATGGATGTATCTAGATGTATTTTAGTTCTAGATACATCCATTTCAGCGACGAGTAATTTGGAACGAAGGGAGTAGCAAGTAGCAAACCATCAGTTGGTTACGTTCGTTGACCACACTCTCAACCTTTTCCCCTTGGGCTCACACTACTTGGCACGGAAACCTTGGCACATGCATGGCCCATGCATATCCAGTGCCAAGTTAGTTCGATATTTTTCATTCATTTTCTTGAGGGAAAAAGTTTGCTCGAGAATTGACACGCCATCCACCCCGGCCGGCAAACACCAGCCGTTGCACCCGCATCCATGCTTGCATGCATGTCCTCCTCCCGTAATGGAGTTGTTGCGCGCGCGCTGCATCCGTATCTTATCTCTCCTCCCTACGTTAAGTATAGTCTTCCCTTTCCGGTGGAGATATTTGTGGATTTTTCTCGCGGGAAATCGAGATATTCAAATCAGTACTGCGTACGACACGTCACACATGCATGCAAGTGCAACTACCGCTAAGCTAGCAAACACAGGCGAAGGGAAGACGAATATCTCCTCTGACCTAGCTAGCTATAAGGCCATGCACACAGGCTACGATTCCACAAATATAGCACCCCTGCGATTTATAAAGTTGTGTGACCGTATTAGTGTAACCACACATGGATCATTTCATCTGCGTGCAGCTGCTGTTGCTGACAATGGCGTTTGACCTGCTGGGCTGCTGCCGATAGCTTCCCCAGCCGGGAAAGGAGGATGGCGAAAGCAACGAACGATGGTGGCGTCCGGTTGACACAATTGCAACATATAACCACCGGTGCTCTTCAGCTGGCTGGCTGGCTGCTAGCTAGCTGATGTGGTCGACTGGTCGTTGTAGGTTTCTGTTTCTGAAGAAGCACGACTTTTTGAGGACGGATTCAAACAAAGGACTGGTTGCCAATTATAACGGGGGCTGTGGAATCATGCAGCGTGTGTATGTGTAAACCCTAAACCCTAAACCCTAAACCCTAAACTCTAAACTTGATTATTACATGTGGGGCCCACAAAAGCTGACGTGTGTAACAGTTGGTCCCATCCGGCGTTAGACAAGGTGTGATAGGAATTTACCGTATTGTCCCTGGTATTTTTGCATAGGCACCCTTTAATCAGAAAACCAAAAAGCAATCAAGCCCCTTGTCATGCCCAGCTCGCCTGTAGTCTGCCACCGGCCACCACACGCTCTTGCGCTGTCGCCCACGCCACGCGCCGGCGGCGGAGAAGATCACCGTCGATGGTCACGCCAGTTCTGCGTGCGGCCGCGCCGCTGCTTGCTCCGGGGCTGCACGCTGACGCTGCTGCTTGTGCCCGCGTTGTGCGCCGCCGCGCCGTTGCTTGCTCTTTTGATGTGCGCCGCCCCCGAGGCTCGTGCCCGTGCTTCGCGAGGCCGCACCACTGCTTGCTCCGTGGTTGTTCGTCCCTGGCTTGGGAAAGAGAGAGGAGGGAGGAAGGTGAAGGAGAGGCACGTCCGGGATGCGCGCCGCTGCTCGGGAAAGAGAGAGGAGGGAGGATGGTGAAGGGGAGGCGCGACCGCCGCTACTTGCGCCAGGGCCGAGGTCGAGGAGGCCGCCAGGCTCGCCGTCGCTGCTCCCCCGTGAGTACCTGACACCCCGAGCCCATCTCCCCTTCCCCGCGTTCGCATCCACAGGTCGCCGACCGGAGAGCTGCCCCTCGGCTACCCCTAGCCGTCGTGGGTCACCCAAGTGAGCCCGGAGGTCACTGTTGAATCGTTACGTGAATACCTGCAGTTGTGGACCATGATCCAAAGGGTCGAATTTGACCCAACACAGAGCGATGCCATCTCTTGGTCATGGGAAGCAAGCGGATGCTATTCAGTGCGGACTGCCTATGCAGCCAAGTTCTGGGGCCGGCAGGTCGTCCCCACGGCCGAATTCACATGGAAATCAAAGGCACCGGCGCCCTGTCGCTTCTTCACATGGCTCGCAATCCAGGACAGGTGTTGGACGTCCGATCGGCTAGCAAGACGTGGACTAGATCATCAAGACTGCTGCCCAATGTGCAGCCAAGAAGAGGAGAGCATAAACCACATTCTACTTCAGTGTGTCGTCGCACGGGAAGTGTGGACGGCGATCTGCCATCCCTTGCGCAAGCCGGAGTTGGTACCTACTGCGACCGAAAGCCTCGGGGCATGGTGTCAAGGCAAGGGAGGAAGAGGACATGCCGAGAGGGACGCAAATGCAATCATCATCCTAGGGCTATGGCAGATATGGAAACACCGCAACTCTACTTTTTGATGGAGCCACACCTTCAAAGAACATGATCATACAAGCAGTCGTTCGAGAGGGCCGTGTATGGAAGCAAGCTGGCATACTACAAGGAGACATGGACGCTTTCTTTGCAGAAGTGGAGTGGGCAGTGGAGCGTAGGTAGACATAGGAGAGAGAGGTGGAGGGTGGAGTTAGTGTGCAGGGTATATATGTAATCTGTAACGCTAACGTGGACGGGCTCTTTACCCTGATTCCTTCTTTATAATATAGTACGCACACTCGTGCGTATTCGAGGAAAAAACACCCCTAGCCGTTGACGGCGGCGCCCATTGCCGCTGCGCCGCCACCGCCCCCGGCGAAGACAGAGGAATCAGGCCGTGTGCCACCGCAGCTCGGACGGATGAACACTCCCCGCACCTGGCCACGTGGGTGGTTGACATTTTTATTATGGCAGTTTTTTTTTCATGCACGGAGGTGTTTTTGGCAAAAAAACCTCTCTCACGCCGTTTATTATGGACCGTTACGCCACGTCAGCAAATGATGGGCTCCATCTGTCATAATCATCATCAAATGAGCCAAAGCCGCCAACTAGTGTTTTCTGCAAAAGATTAGGCAAAAAATCAGTGGTTTCTGGCAGAAATTCGTAAACCAGTATGCTTTCTGCAAACCTAGGCGCTAATGTGGTGGTTTTCTGCAATTCACTCGGCTATATTTATAGTGTGTGTCTAGAACTCAGTCGACTAAGACTTAACGAAGTCTTAGTCGAGTGACGTCAACGTGGTTTTGTTTGCTACAAGCGGCACGGCTGGATGCTACAAATGGTGACGAAAAATGTTGCGACGGTATTGCAAGCAACAACAATAAATGCGACAATTGTTCTAACTGAAATGCTACAACCGTCAATGAAGTATGTTGCAACTGATGAGATGACGTGCTACAACCATGAGAGACGATATGCTACAACCAGCAAGATGGATGTTGCAACCAGTAAGAAAGAATGTTGCAAATGATGGCATAAAAAAATGTTGCAAACAATGGCGCGGGGTCAGCGTCAATGAAACTGAAAAACCAACAAGAGAACCCCAAAAAAAGTTATAATGAGAAAAGTGCAGAATGAGTAGTGGTGCTACAGTGCCACATGACGTGCTGGGGCGCTCCCGTCCTAGGAAAAATGACTCTAGCATGCGGGGAAAAATGGTGGACACACGGTTTTTTGCAGGGGCATTA